CCCTCTAGAAAACAAGTGAAACATTATTACACTGGATTTTTAAGTTTAGGGAGATTTATTATAAAGGAAGTACAAATACTGAAGTAAATAAGTTTGATTATCAAAACAGGAAGTAGAATAGTGGTTACCAGGATCAACGTTCAATGGATATAGTGTTTGTTTCAATAAAAAGCAAAGGTTCTAATGCAATTGCATAATAATGTGGTTAGAGCTGACACCACTAGAAATGGTTATGATGGTAAATTTTATTATGTATTTACTTGCAAAAAATAACTTTCATTAGTTTTCATTATCAATCAATAACCACAAGTGAATCCTGAGGATTAAATGTTAAATGTTGCTAATTATTTTCTAATTATTTATTTATAAAATAAATGTTTAGGATTCTGAACACATCCTCTGTGGAATAGTGATTGCAAAAAAAATGAAGAAAGAAAAGAAGTCCAACAAAATTTAATTTACTATGTATCTTGAAAAAAATTATAAAATAACAGAGTCAACTTTTTTTTTTTTTCCTGTCCTGGGGCTTGAACTCGGGCACTGTCCCTGAGACTCTTTGGATTTGAAGCTATCACTCTACCACTTTGAATAGTTTGTTGGAGATAAGAGTCTCACAGGGACTTTTCTGCTTGGGCTAGCTTCAAACCGTGATTCTCAGATCACAGTGTCCTGTAGCTAGGTTTACAAGCATGAGCCACTGGTGCCCAACTAACATTTACTTTTAAAAACCTTGAAACATATATATTATAGGAAAGTAGATAATATTGTACACACACAGTCCTGAGGACTGAGCTTTAAAAGTGAGCCTGGGAATTACTCTCACCAGGTCCCTTCCCTATTTCTTAAAAGATGCCAAGCATGCCCTCTATTAGGGATGAGAGGTTTGGTCATCAGTCATTCCACTACCAAGAAAGATGAACTTCCAATACTACAAATGTAAGGTCTGAACAGGGACACCTCCCTCCCTCTTGGCTAAGTTTCTGCCAAGTATCTGTTACCTAGGTAACTGGCAGACCTGAAAGCAGTCACCTTCCCCTCCTGCTAGGTCACATCCTGGGCCCCCTCTGGTCACAGGCCTCCCATCTGACCTCAGGAGGGTCCCAGACCCTGAGGTCACATCCAGATCCAGTGTGGCCATACCTTTCCCCAACCTAGCCACACCTCTTCCTGCCCCTGGCCTAGATAAGTCCTGACCAAGGGTGGGTCGTCCCCCCCTCCCGTCCTGACCAAGGGTGGGTCGTCCCCCCCTCCCTTTTCCTTTTCAGCCATGCTTCTCCACCATGCATGGTGGGAGCAGCAGTTCGTAAATAAACTTCTTCTCCTGCCTGAATAGTGCATGGTGTTCTCCTCATTGGCTACCTAATGAAAACTACCTATTTAATATACCTTACAACAAACAGTATCATGATAATCTCAAATTAGATAGCTTACCAGAAAGAGAATAATCATGGAATTAGGAAAGCTGAGTGACAGGAATGAGGACAATTGCACAGCTACAAACCTAACAAAAGAAAGAAATCATTGCAGAGAAAAAAAAAGGGGACAAAGAGAAAGTAAAACTATGTGGCAAAGGGAGAAGAGCCTTCTCCCTAGTGTCTGAGAAGTGTGGAGTAGTGAGGATGGACCTGAGCCAGCATTAAGTAGGTTACTGTGGTTCTCAGAAAGAATTCCTGATCCATGAACAATATTTGGATCTAAGGAAAACAGGCATTATTAGCCAAGATATGTTAAGGATTACTGAAAGGAAATAAAACATTACCCTTATTATTTTTTTCGTATAATTATTATCAATTAGTGAAACAAATTACTATACCAAACTATTATACCAACACAATCACTTTAGTTTCACATAATATAAAGTCAATTTAATAGTGCTTTTAAAGATTACTTACTGCTGATTGAAAATGTTTTTACTTTAATGGTTGTTCGGGTGTTGGGAATTGAACCCAGGACATCATGCGTGCTAAGCACACACTCTAACACTGAGTTACACTCTCACCCTAACCCCAAGTGAAAAGAATAATTATAACGAAAAGTAATTTCAGAGTCAGTGTGCATTTATGCAATTATGTCCACCAAATTTATTGTATGTCATCCTAAAAAGACTGCTATTGTTTCTGACATTAATTTTTCTTTTTTTTTAAAATACATGCTATCATTTTACTATCTAAATACTATGGGCACATATTAATGTATTTTTCCAACTCATAAATGATGAAAGAGTAAAAATCCACAGAGAAACTGGGAAAATAAGACCAGTGCCAAAACAAGTAACATAAAGGAAGGGCTGTGGGCTACTGGTTTGGAATCAAAAACATTACATCAACATGCCCAGAACACTGCGGAGCCACACCTGGCCGCCAACTCTCAGACTCCATTCCCAAGCCACATGTTTCCAAAGACTTCTTAATAATGGATAGGAGAAACTATTTATTTTTGTCAGTTGTGGGGCTTGAACTTAGGGCCTAGGAGCTGTCACTGAGTTTTTTTGCTCAAAGCTAGCTCTCTACAGCTCCACTTCTGGTTTTTAGGTGGTTAATTGAAAATAAGAGTCTCATGGCCTTTCCTGCCTAGGCTGGTTTTGAACCTTGATCCTCAGATCTCAGCCTCCTGGGTAGCTAGGATTACAGATGTGTGCCACCAGCGCCAGGGGCCACTTTATTGTTTTAATTCTATTCAGTCTTACCCAAAATAAGTCAGCTACCTCAAAAAATAATGTATATACATATTTTTTTAAGCAATCAGTTTAGCTGGGCACTGGTGGCTCATGCCTGTAATCATAGCCACTCACGAGGCTGAGATTATATCATGGTTTGAAGCAATCTGGACAGAAGTCTGTGAGAATCTTATCTCCAATAAACTACTCAGAAACAGCCTGAAGTGGTGCTATGGCCTAAGTGGTAGAGCACTATTCTTGAGCAAAAAATAAGTTCAGTGATAACTCCCTGGCCCTGAGTTCAAGCCCTAGAACCGGCACACACACACACACACACACACACACACACACACACACACATACACACACACACAAATCAGTTTATTTTTAGCTATACTTTGAAATTATAAAATAATAAAGTTCCAAATAGTAACAAAAGATAAGATAATCAGAGAATAATAAAAAGATAATGCAACGTATAAAGTGAGGGCTTGAAAACCAAAGCTCACCTCGCTCCCGCCTATTCATCTCCCTAAATCAGCAGTGTCCAATAGAACTTGGTGGAAATAGGGAAGTCATGATTAAAGGTTCTTGTGTTGCCCAATGTGAAGCCATTAGCCACCTGTGACTATTAAGCCCTTGAAATATAGGTAGTATAACTGAGACACTAGATTTTAGGTTTAATTTTAATTGCCACAAATAGTTAGCACCTGCTTCCTGGACATCACAACCACAGGAAAACAACCGATTCAACCATTTTCCTCTTCTTTCAAATCATTCAGTAATTTATTAATACTCTAAATCCTCATCTCTCCCTGGACATACACCAAATCATAACTTTACAAAAAATTATATACTAAGCTTCTTGAACTTGCTCTTAACAGAACAAACCACATTAGCCATTAAGATACAGACCAGGGTGAAATTAGAGAGTGAGGATAAGGGCCAAATATGATCAAAGTACTTCATATACAGTATGAAAACAGAATAGTAAAAGCTTTTTGAATTGTTCAAAAATGGATGTAAGGGGATTAAAAAAGTAATAGAAGTGGTGAATATGATCAAAGAATATTACTTGAAAGTATGGAAATATCACAAGGAAATCTCTTTGTACTAGTAATATACACAAATAAAAATGGAAGGAGAGAGATCCAGCTTCAACTCAATTTAGCTCCTCATCTACCTGCTTCCTAAGAAGTAACAGAAATTGGTGGTTTGTGCTTTCAAAGCTACTTGGTCACTTTCCATCTTCTTTTTTCTTCTTAAATCTTTGCTCTTCTTGTGGAAAAGGAAACTAAATTGAACACAATCTGGAAGCTCAGAGGAATAGTTTAGTGCTTAGCAATAATTATGCAAACCTGGCATTACTGCCCATTTGTATCTATAGTTTCATAGTTTCTGATATCTGTATGTGTTTATATGTATTTTTAACTATATGGATTCATTCGTGTGTGTGTGCATGCGTGTGCATGTGAGTGTGTGTGTGTGTGTGTGTGTTCCAGAAGCAGACACAGGAGGTGTCTACTAAAAAAGGGACCTGCGACTTTGCTCCAGAACTTTGTTCTTACAGACCAAGAATACATTCTGAATTAGAAAACTTCAATTTGGTTCCACCACATCCTGACACTACAATATAGTTTTCTCTGTTCTTTCATTTTCCCCTTTCCCATTCCTTTATTGCATAAAAGTAACTGGTATATGTGTAAATACTTACTGCTTTTATTTTTTTCTTTAAACTAAATGACCAATGGTATATTTTTATTGACATCAAATGGAGATGGGATGGGGAAAAATACTGGTCTGAATTCATTCTTTTTTTTTTTGTTGTTGTCAGTCATAGGCCTGAACTCTGGGCCTGGGCGGTGTCCCTGAGATCTTCATCACAAGGTGAGCACTCTACCACCTGAGGCACAGCGCCACTTTCAACTTTTTCTGCTTATGTGGTGCTGAGGAATGGAACCCAGGGCCTCATGCATGCAAGACAAGCACTCTACCACTGAGCCACCTTCCCAGCCCTGGATTCATTTTTAATACTCTATCTCAAAACTATTTTCAAGGCGAATGAAACCATAAAACAGAAATAACAAATACAAACTAGATGTGTGCGTTTCCCATCAAATTTCATAGTATTATCTCTACTAACAAGATTCTCTTTCTGAACTTAAAAAAATGTTACAATGAAATATCTGCAATGTTATAGGTAAGAAGTGTGATTGTATTATACTTCCCCAAAGGCCCACAAGATGATCTAGAACTGAGATCAGCGGATCTTTCACTGGTTTTTTTCATACAGATAAAATAATGGGTATTTTCTCCTCATTCCGTTTTAAAAGATTTGCCATACCTTGAATGTTGGTGAAAATTACGTGCCCGTAACTGGGATACCACAAACAATGATGATGCTATCGCCAATAACTGGTTTTTCTCACTCTTTGATAAAATATGTCCTAAGGGAAATAAATTCATCAATCAGTCAGTCATATATAATGTTAACATCTGTGTTTCTATAGTCCGAAGTTACTATTAATTCAAAAACAAGTATTCCATCAGGCTTCTATTATGGAGTTAGTATTGCACATGGGAGAGAAGTGTAAACGTTCTAATAAGACAATAAACCTTGCTCACATTAAAAAAAAATCGTAAAAGAGATACCCAGGCCAGGTGCCAATAGCTCATGCCTATAACACTTGATACACAGGAGGCTGAGATCTGAGGATCTTGGTTCAAAGCCAGCCTGGGCAGGAAAGTCTATGAGAGTGTGATCTCCATTTAACTATCAAAAAAGCCAGAAACAGAGTTGTGGGTAGAATACTATCCTTGAACAAAAAGCTCAGGGACAGAACTCAAGCCCTGAGTTCAAGCCCCAGAACTGGCACATATTGAGAGGGGGGGGGAGGGGGGGAGAGGGAGGGAGGGAGGAAGGGAGGCAGGGAGGGAGAGAGAGAGAACAAAATAATTACAAAAAGAAAGTTATACCCACAGAGATATCACAAAATGCTTACGTTCTTAACATCTGTTTCCTGTCATCACTCACTACCTGAAAACCTACTTCTAAGAAAGTGAGGAGAAAAGGCCAGAGCTCCAATTTCTGCAGAAATAGAGATACACAGTCAAGGCTATGTTTGCTACATAAAGGAATCAAAGAAAATACAGGTATAATTTGCTTCCCTCTATACATGTAGTCAAGAATCAATGTCCAATCGATCAAAGGACTTCTATCTTCCTTACTCTCTCTTCCCATCATAATGTAGCTGGACTCAGAAATAGTGGTCTAGGCTAGAGTATGACCACTTGACATGGCTGAGTGTTATCCAGCTGGTAAGCCTGTTCCATTTGCAGAATTCTAAAAGTAGTGGTATGAATCAAGAAAGGATGACAGATGGTACAGAATACAGGTGAACACTTCCTTCAAGAGTTCTGTAACCATACTACAATATCTAATACTACTACTTACCACCATACTATATACCAGATAGTAGAGAGAGCATTAAACAGTATAGTATACAACAGAAGCAATATTTTACAACCCATTAATGAAAACAAAAAGTACCCACCTAAACTTATTTCAAAGAAATGGAGCAATGTGAACTTTATGTCTAAAAATTACTCCAAATGATAATCAAACTTTTAAAAATGTCCAAAATTAACATCTAAACTCTTTTAAGTCTACAAACCATTTTTCTATGGAAAAGTACTTCATGAAACAGAAGAGTACAGGAACCCAATAATCCATTCCTCGTTGAGACAAACCCAGATCCTGCATCAACACTTACACAAATGAGACCTACAAACTGGTTCTGGGAATTCAAGCAGAGAACTTTGCATATCATTTTTTTTTTCTTCTAGAAATGTAAAAAACATTTTGTTTTTGGTATACCCAGAGGAATAACTATTTTTCACTAATCTTGCCTAACACTCAGTGAAGCTTTCCAACATAACCTCAAGGCTCTCTTAAGAACAGTATAAAAGCACTCCCCTACTATTCCTTTCAAAATTGTCTTTATTTATTTTTTATTTCTATAAAATTCTTATTATATATTTACTGGTACATAAAATCTATTGTAGCTACATTGCCTATCTCTTATTTCCTACATGATTTTATTCTCATTACATTTTTGCCATGTTTGGGATACTTCTCCCATTTGTCTGTTTTTTATTTTATTAATTTTATTTTATCTATCTATCTGTCTACAAATAGTTGTACAAGAGGGTGACAATTTAATATTTCCATTTATGCACACAGGGTCACCCCTTTTGTATCATTCCCCAACCTTCCCATCTACCCTTTCTCCTTGCAGTCCTAACAAGCTTTTCCACTTCCTTTTTCACATATGTGCATTGAGTATTAAGATTATGTTCATCCACCATTCCCTTTTCCATATATCCACCTCCCTGAGCTAGCCTCACCCCATTCAAAGCATGTTTCAGTTTCCTAATATTCATTTTGTTAAATGGCCTCTTAATTGTTACTTCTCCCATTTATTTTGGGGGTCACTCATTCAGTTCTTAACAGTGACCATATTAGAGTCTATTTTGCTAAAATGTTTTATGTCTAAAAATCACACTTTTTAGTTGTTCATCAAGTCTTTCTAACTTAAAATACTTAAGCATTCTTACTATTTTTCAGTGAGCAAAGTCATCTATTTTCCACAACAGCCAGCTGAAAACCAAGCATCTCCAGTATTCATGGATTCTTCTATGTCCCCTCTCTAGATAGGTATCCTTTCCCACCTTCCAGCAGTGGCTCTGCTCTGTTTGTTCTCAATACTCAAGTCAAAGTGTTAGACAACGGTTTGTTGGTAAATGTTTAATGATTAAACCAACTGGGGTATAAGGGAAGAAAGAAGCCCAAGTAAGGGACTTTTGCTAATTTCCCTGAAGAAAATATTCTCCATGGCTGATTTCAAAAGACCAACAGACATCAAAGAGGATGGCTTAGGAAAACAGACACATGGGCTCTCACAATGCAATATAGCACATCCAGCACCCACCAAAGGCAGTTCTTGGAGAGATGTTCATAGTGCAAAATGCTACCTCATCCTTACAGCACCCTATATTCCTTAAGTCAAAGTCGTTTTCTTTTTTCTCTGTTCTTGAGACATTTGCTTTTTATCTTTACTCAGTACTTATTCTGTGCTGTCTAGTAATGTGTGAGTTCTTCCATGATTGTTTTTCCTGTGCTGTTAGCTCTTTAATGACAAAAAAATATATACACTATCCATTTCTTATCTCCTTCTACAGCCTACTTCATCCTTCATTGAATGACTCTGTTGACTGAAATTCAGTCCAAATATCCTACTACAACTTTTAAAGGTATAAATATACTTAACTAAATAAAGGAAAAGTATAACTTATTGTATATTTTTCAGAATTAATCAATTTTTACAAAAACCTAACTTTTCAGAAGAAAACTATAATTCTGATAATTACTTTGATGAAGCTTGAGGCTAATGAGCAGCAAAAAAACAAAAAAATAAGTCCAAAATGTTCATTACACGACAACTGAAATTGCAGTCTTAAAATATCTTCTTCATTTTTTCCTTTAGTTAGGAATCAAAGGAAAATAGCTTTTCAATATC